CGCAACAATGGCAAAAGGTTAGTAAGCAAGTGGTGTGAGGTCTAACACACTGAAAACTTCAATTAATCTCAAACAAAGATGAATAAATATAAACAAAAACTAAAATCATAACTAACATTGCTGCAACTCACCAACAGAAAAGTGTTTGATTAACGACCATTGCACAACTAATTATTGGGAACAAACTAAGGAAGCTAGTTCGAGATTGGGGTGAACATCAAATTGTCGTGTTGTTTGTTTATTTCAGGTAAAAAGTGCTTGATGAAATCGAACTGAATTGATGAAATAACGTCACCCTGTCTTATCTTGAGATAAATAAGAATTCAAGTGATACATGCTTACCTGCACGCTTTAAGGAAATAGGATGACTTTATAGAACGTTTTAAGATCTTGTTTTCTATTCCACTCAAAACAAAATATGACATTTCTTCGTTTGTTACACCAACAACTATACCTTCCCGAAACAGATACTTCTCCGAAAGTGAATATAAAAAATCAGTGAATGTTGATTATATATTTAAAGAGATGTATGAGGCAACTTCTTAGAAGACGGTTGAGTTTTCTTTATTAATACAACCATTATCATTCTATACGGCGCTTGTGTTTTAACAATTTACAATTAGTTCCATTTGGTGGATTGTCCGAGATGTTCATTCGTTCGCCTCTTAACGAATGTTAGATGTAAAACAGTGATAATGTCAGATGAGACCTGTAAAAGCAAAACCATTAAAAACTTGGTTTCTTTCTTCTACCTTTTCACGTCAGAAACAGCAAAAGAAAGGAAATTTATAAGCAATAGAGAACACGGAAAAAGATAACGTAACCATGGAAACAAAGTATTTGAACGTTGAAGCAATGAAACCCAAAAGTCCTTCAGTAAGAGGACACTGCTTCAGTTTAGGCTAAATCACAGTAAAGCATATTAAAACACGTATTGCTTGATATGAAATTGTTTTTATTTTTTCTGAATCGCAAGCTAACCTTTCATTCTTCCTTTCGTAGGTTATTAAAGCAGTTTAAGTCAAAAACAGACTTTACTTTTTATTTCTACAAGATAAAAGATATTGTCGTAATGTGACTTGAACGTTTACTATTACGTAAATAATCCAATTTAAAAACGTATAATAACAATTGGAATCTAATACATATTGCTTGAGTGGTCTATAGCTATCGATTGTATTTGTCTCAGTTGTGTTTGCACGGATAGAAAACTTTACTTTGCCCAGTTCCTTATTTCTTGTCTTTGTTTTTATTGCAATAGGATAAAATTGCTACATTATTTTTCTAGCGAAGTTATTTCTACGATTATTGAAAAAACGAATATAGCTATGACTACTTTATTGAAACGATTGCAAGCAGAGAAATACACGTTTGTCGAAATAATCACTGGAAATTTTCATTGAAATTGACATCTTTATATACGAATGAAAAGCAGTATGCAAAAAACAAAAACAGGACAGATGTTTTGAAAAGAAAATCAGAACGTTAAAATATCTAAGAAATTACTGATGTTGGCCCAATATATCTAAAATAACTTTCGTAGAAAACAGTCTCAAAGACTATAACCTCATACTACTTGACATAGGCCAAATGTTATTACAAACTCTTAAAATATTTGACATGGCTTGAGTAAAATGACTGTTTCAAAGACTAGGCTCAGACTACTTGATTTAAACTTGATGTCATGAAAACCTGATAAATATTTTAGAAAAATATTTGTGCTGGTTCGGCTTAAGTAAACTAAGTCGCTAACAGATGCAGGAAACAGTCTTAATGACCAAGCTCAGATTGTTTAACATAGGCCTAAGCAGGTTAAATAAAATAACTGCTGTAGAAAACCAAGTCTCAAATACTAAGCTCAGACTACCTGACTTAGGCCTAACGTTATTACAAACTCTTAAAATATCTTAGAAAAATACTTATGCAGCTCCAGCTTGAATAAAATAATGTTGCGTCAGCGAGGTCACATGACTAGTATCACGCCACGTCCTTCTCGAACCTTTGTGAATTATCGGGAGACTACTAGATTGGGGTAGTCTGGTATATATAAGATGGTCACAACGTGATGGACCAATGAGTAATTGAACTGCAGTCAGAGAGTGTGTAATTGAACTGAGTATTGTCGAGCACGAGCACGTCAGACGTTATAGCGTTTGTTATAGAGCGACTGTTGAAATTGAGTGTATCGTAAAGTTGTATTCGGAAATAATAAACCAGTTTTATTTAAGAAAGGACTTGTGTCGCTAAAGTTTCGTCGGTACGAATTTACAGAACATTAACTAACGAACGGTGACGTAACAATAAACTGCTAACTGATGCAGAAAACAAAGTCTCAAAGACAAGGCTCCAATTTTTTGACATAGGCTTATTGTTATTTCAGAAAAATACTGGTGCTGGTCTGGGCTAAGTAAAATAGGTCCCAACTACTGTAGAAAATAGTTTCATGAAACTGGGATAAAGATGCTTGACTTAATTCCATCGTTAAAATGACACATATTGAGAAGAAAAAAAAACTAATATAACTATGACTACTTTATTAAAACAAAACAATTACTAGCAGAAAAAACACGTTTGTCGAAATAATCACAGTAATTTTTCTATAAAATTAACATCTTTATGTACGAACGAAAAGTAGTATACAAAAAAGGAGGACAGATATTTGAACAAATAAAACGGTTAAAGATACGTGTAACCTTTGTCTAGAAAGTATATATATATATATAATACAGTAATATTAATTGCCCTTATCAATACAAGGCAAAAGATGTATAATATTTTGAAGAAACGGATTTAAACAATCAAGACAGGCTATTCAGTCAAATAAACGGTATGCCTTTTAAATTCGGGAAAGACGTATCTTGAAAACTTTGTTTTTAGTTCTAACCATAAATGATCTAACCTGTGTTTTTATTGAAGAAAAAACATTGTTTTGTTATAGTTTTATGTGTTTATGTATTTAACATATACTTCTGACGAAACCTATGCCATACTGTTTATTTGTTTTTTCTCACCTTCATAAACTCCACACTGGATTCGAGAGGGTTGTCAAATCGAAACAACAACAGGAAACTTTCTTCAAGCGGTAGAAGCTGGGCAAGCTGAACGGAGAAAAATTAAATTCTAAAAATCAATGAACAAATATTTTCGACATGAACAACTTTAAAGAACTGATTAAACCTTCATTGAACAAGATTTCTGAATTCATCAACTTATCATTAATAAATTTCCTAGCCAGTTCTTCGTTTATCATTTATTACTGAAGTTGATGATGGCCTCACAATCTACTCTTACTTAAGTTGCAGTTTCTCCAGTCTTGGTATTCTAATTGATAAAACAATCTTAGAAATCTCATTGGTTCAATAGGCTAAAAAAAAAAAAAACGTTTTCTCTCTCTTCTTTTTACTTCAATCGTGTTTTCAATTCTTATACTATGTGAGGCTCTGTCACATACTAGTTTATGAAACGGTCTTCGTTCGTCATTTACGACACTGTGTTTATTTCGAAACAGCTTTTCGAGAAATAACGAATAATATATGATCTGTGATGAAAGGAAATTTCTTTTTCTTTCGTGTTTAAATCACTAGGCCTTATAGTTTAAGACATACTAGAATTCTAACAACGTGAAATGGCAAACTTTCCAATCACTTTGAGTAGGAGCAGTGTTTAATTGTGACTATCAGAAAAACCTACGTGATAAATTATTACAGCTAACCTGCTCTTTCTTCAAATGATGTTTTTACGTTAAAACTGATACACTTAATTAAAAGCTTACAAATTATGGAGACAAAAAAGCACAAGTTACAGCAATTTACTGTTATAGTCTTCAAATAACAGTGTTTTGATGTTATAATTACAAGTAATTTAGTGTTGTAATTAAAACAAATAACGATAATTTAACGATATAATCAAAACAACCCATCATGGGTTACTTTTATAATTACAACAAAAACTAATACAAATATATTTGTTTATGAAGCGCCAATATTTTGTTTTTGAATTTCGCGCAAAGC